TTAATGCATTTTCACCATTTAATCAATAGGACCCCTCCCAAACATCAGAACCCTGATCAATGGGTCATGAAATTCACAATTTTGGAAAAGGCAGTCTTGTTCATCATATTTTTGCTTAATACCCAGGAGCATGGAAGATTTTCAAAGAATTGATGCATTAATAGAGTATCAGAACGCCTGACCCTTGGGCCATGATATTCACAATTTTAGCAGAGAGATCAAGATCAATGTTAATTACAACCATGCCAACAGTCAGACTGCTTGATGTCCAGGAGTGAAGAAACAGATTTTTAAAGATTGGAATAATTTTGATCGTTTATCCCTGCCTCTCAAGTCCCGGGTGGGGGTGGGGGGGGGGGGTGCAGAAGTCATGAATTTCAGAATTTTTGTTCTCCTTCACCCATAGCTGTTATATGCCAAAATTGATTAAATTTCTTCAGTGGTCCCAGAGAAGAGTATCAAAAAATGTTTAAATGTTAATGACGTTACGCCACGACGGACGAAAACAGATAGCAAAAAGTCACTTGAGTGACTCAGGTGACTTAAATACTAAAATAAATAAGGTTAGGTAGTTTAGTTGTAGTGCTAGAAGTTTTTGTTTTCCATTTCTTTTATTTATGACTTTCGAATCTTTTCTTTGTCCAAAGGAAGGGACAGGGCTTCCCGAGAATTTGACAATTTTTATTGTTCGTATCGCTAATCATTAAAATACCGTATAGTGGGTTTTCTTGGCGGGTGTAAAATTTGGCGTTTTGTCTGTTCAAAGGTATGCCAATAATTTTGGCGTTATTTATTTTAGCGGACACAGGGTTTCAACTCTTTGCAGATGAACACTAAGAAGAGTGCTGAATATTTTAGCGATTAAAATTTTAGCTGGTTACTATCAAAACGCCAAAATAAGCCAAAATTAGCACCTCGCTAAAAAAAGTCAGCTACAGTAGCATTTTACTAATTTCCATTTGTAACCTTGTTACTGATTGAATGTTTACTTATTTGTTTTATGGGGATTTGGCGATATTAAAAACATTTTTCAAAGCTGAACAGAGAAATCAGAATTGATCAGTTTGCTTTAGCTGGATAAGTGAAGGATACTATTTGATACAGTATGATGAATACACCTATAGCTACATATACTTTCAATTTATCAATGATTTTTCACAATTAAAAATCCATGAGATAAGGAAGAAACCCGAATTTAATGCAAATGATAGATTTACAAAGTAGCTTCACTTTTTTATAGCCTATCTGAAATATCCAAACAAGTTTGCAATAATTAGACATATGATGAAATATAAAGCTTGGAGCTTTGAATTGTATAACCCTACATAAAAAAAGTTAACAATTATTTTCAAATAGTGTATCTGTTTGAAAAGTTTCTATAAAGAAAAATTATTGCAATAAAAGCTTTATTTCTTAAATAAACTTCAGTTAAAATCTGGCGTTATGTAACTATGTTGTTTATCTCCTTTAAATTGACGATAATTTGAATGGTCTCTTTGTTTTAATTTAGAACGTATAGGCAAAGAACGATAACCTTAAAATTTGTAGACTGAAATGGGTTTTCGAAGACTGCTCTCAAAGCTTGGAACAGTTTAATTCATTTCTGGAGAAAAGGGAATACTTTTTTTAAAAAATGCTTTCTAATTTATTTGTATACTTCTATGATACAGAATAAAAAAAAAAATAAAATCACTTTCAATTTGACTAATTAATGAAAGGAATGAGCACCACCTAACGCTATGTTGTTGCAACGTCATGCTCTTTGAAGAAGCTGTTAGAAGCATAAGTGGTTTTTAGGTCGAAGACAGTAGAGGGGATACCCAAAACGATAAGAAGTAACCTTTTTTAAAAAAAAAAAATCCATTTTATACGTTGCTTTATGCTCCCAAAGATCGAAGATCGGGGGCATACTGTTTTTGTTCTGTCCGTCCTTCTGTCTGTAAAAACTAAACATTTAACTTTATTTTTTTATGTTTAACTCTGCAAATTTGGCAACCATATTTGGCAACTACTTTTATCCTTCCAAATGTACTTAGATCATTAGTGCCTGTTTTGTTATGTTTGTCCATGATTGATATTTCGTTATGTTCGAAGGCATTTGGGCGTAACAAACATATCTCGTTCTCTTTCTAAATATATGTATAGTAACAAACTTTACTAACATGTAAAAAGTAAAAATAACGACCAGTGATCAATCTCAAAAATCCAGAGAACAATTTTAAATGTGAACAGGGCAAAATCACGGAACCCTAGGAACATTCAGTGATTCCATAAATACATTTTCTGCTCTAGAGTCGCGGAGTAAGGAGTTGATCCTTACGTCGCGTGTTCGAATCCCACTGTGGGACGTGGAGACCGGTCCTTCGGATGAGACCGTATAAACCGAGGTTCCGTGTCGCAGTAGGTGCTGGCACGAAAAAGACCCCTCACTGCTCAATGGCCTTATGTGCCGAGTATAGGTCAAAATTTGTAGCCCTCCACCGGCAAGTGGTGGCGTCTCCATATGAGTGAAAAATTCTCGAGAGGGACGTTAAAAACAAACAATCAATCAATCAATACATTTTAATTACACCCAAACTTTTAAAAGTGGTGTGTATACATGTATTCTTTGTGAGAGAAAAAAATAAGCATGTAAAATTATTTAGGATTTTTCTTTTTAATGAGAGTACCGCTATGTAAACAGATGCTTATTGAACACTCGAATGCTAAAAAATATCTCCTCACAAGAGGACCGGCACTAAATAACATCCCCGAGCACATGGTGACTTTAAAAAGTTTTTCACCGTCTACACATTCTATGCCACATGACATTTTAATTGGATAAAAACTTGCCTTTGGGTACAGTATGACACTGACAAAATGAATGGGATGAATAATGATGTTTATTGAATAAAAATCTGATTAACACGTACAAGGCTCATATACAATAACATCACCTCCCTCGGATCGTTTTGATTAAATTTTACCTAACAGTTTGTAATTCATAAAATAACATTTTATTATGGTATTATGTGTTTTGATAAATTCATATAATACTGACATGAAATATACTGTAAACACTTCACATTAGAAGATAAAAATTGCATATGACTGGGCATGACTGGCTCTCAATAATTTGCTTTTCGTATTTGGGTGATTAGAAATTCTTCCCAACAAGTATAAAGATTGATAATTTCTGAGCTAGATTTTGTTAAGACTTCTTTTTTACAAGAAATGAAAAATCCTTACTCTCTGTGTCTTTGTGTATTAGTTTGTAGTTCCAAAGGCATTGTTGGACACAAAAGGCTGGTTAATTCGTTGTACATATGACTATAAGCCACATGTGTATAAAGAGAATATCCGTTTATCATAAAGTTTTTCAGATTGTTACAAAATGCAATGAAAAACATGTTTACATGTTGAAATATACAAAACGTACTAAGAAATGTTAATATCAAACAAGAAATAATAAATGTTATGTAAATTTTACAATAACTTGACGTTTTTCACATTGTTTGTTGTTCTCTCCAAATGTTTTCTTTTCTGTATATACAACGTCAACCTTATTCTAAGCATTAAAGCTTGGCGACCTCATAATGATAAATGACAGCTTAGCACAAATCGAGTTTTCAACCGGTCCACTGTAGGCATAAATGTTTCAAAAATAATTTTTTTTGTGTGTGTTTTCAGTCCTGTTAAGATATCTATTCGAAAAATACTTCCTAGGGAGAGGAGGCTGAGATAAATAGAAATCATACCACCCATAGAGCTCTGCTTCTTCATAAAGGGAGATTTTATTATGTACAAAGAACTCTGGCGGAAGTTTCAACTAGTGATAGACAATTTTGGTCATATCATATATTCATGTACAAGTATGAATGAAATGAAATGTATGGAAATAATGAACAGTATTCAAGCTCAAAAGTCCATTTAAACAATACAAATCAGGAGCACAGCAAACACGGACCTCTAAAACATCAGAGGTGGGATCAGGTGCCATGGAGGAGTGAGCATCCCCTGCCGACCGGTCACACTAGCCGTGGGCTCCTTGTCATGATCGGGAAATAACAGAAAAATCCGTAGACAATTCAGAATGTAAATAATAGCCTAACAATAAGTATGAAACACGTCAGTCAGCATTTGACTTAATGATAGATTGCATTTGCTAACAAGGTCATTGTATCGACCATAGAACTTACGAAATGATGACTTTAAACGAGATTGTTGATATTCTTGTTTCATCAACTTGTTTGTTAACTTACCTCGTTTTAGAAATTGTTCATACGTAGAGCATGCTCTTGCAACTGAGAAATGTAAACCCCGTATGCAGGTGATAATGGTATATATTGTTGAATAAGTAAGGAGAGTTGTCGATTGAAAAGTTAAAGTCATCACGTATAGGATAAAGCTTAGTTGTTAGGTTAATTTCAACGTCTTTTTCTAGTAAAATATCCAAAAATAAAACATGTGTCAGGCTCTGTGGTAGCTTTCAAGCTCACTAAGATATATCGTGTCGACATATGAATAGAAATAACTATTGTTTGTTATTCCTATTTATCATGGAACATTGATATAATTGAAAGACTTAGTGCATTTCTTCAAGTAACTGACACACTTTTCAAATCACGTGTACTCCTACTCTATTAGAATTTTTTGGTGTGATCATTCAACAAAAGTTACAATAAAATCTTTAAAAAATACTCTAAGCAACATGAGGTCAATATGTCTGAAGATTTGAATTATCCACACCAATGCCACGTAAAAGTATTTGACAAAGACAAATATGTATTAAATTGTCATCGACTCACCCAGTTTAAACTTTACTATAAATTACGAAGAAGTACCTTGCAGCATCATTGTCTTCTTTACGGTATGTTGTCTTAAATTATTCATATTCCTAATTTATAATTTCATTCTGAACGAAATACTGTTCTTTTCTTTCTATATATATGTATATTTCCTTTTTCGTATAAAAAAGTAAGAAAAAAGACATTCACTTCTTTTTATAGCAGACGTCGACATGAGAATGATGGCTTTCAAAAATAAACTGGTTTTCGTTTGCTTTCTTGGAGTAACATTTTGTGCCGAATGGGGTAAAAAAAACTTCAAATTCTGGAAATTTTAAAATTTATTTTCAGAGAGATTTATTAAATCTCTATTATTATTACAAAAATCAAATAGTCTTTTTTATTTTTACAGATGATTGTACGTTTAAATCTGGAAGATTTAAAGGTAATAACGCAATATCCATACCTATGTACATGTATGTACCTTTTGTTTTCTTTAAATTTATTATTATAATATGAGTCCTGTAATCAAATTAAAGCACAAAAAAGATTTAAAATCTGTAAAATTGTGCTGCCTGAGGTACAGTTTCCAATTAACATCTTTTTTATTTTTAAGGATGTCCACATGATGGAATGTGCATACCCTTCGGTAAAGAGTGGGCTGTTCGTGAGGGAAAGGTCATCAGATGTATGGGGAACAAAGATAAATTCTATATAGAAATAGTCAAAGGAGGTAATAAGCTGGGTTTTTTTTAAGATTATATGTTAAGAAAATTGAATTGAACTATAACAGAAACTGTGTGAAATGTATACGTATTTATACAATTTAGTTGCATTTGTTTGGGTGGGTGACAAGGTTCAAATTAGAATACATTTATTTTATTTCTCTAACTCATCTTCAATTGAATTTTAACTTTTTTCTATAAAGGCTTTTGTAAAGATAATAAAGAGGGATTCAAAGGTAAGACTGTGAAAAATTTAACTTAAAAAATTAAAAATAAATAAAAAAAAAAGATAAATAAGTAAAGTTGAACATAAAATATAATCCTTACATTGTTGATATAAAGTTAATTCTAGGTTTGTTTTAGGGTGTTTATACCAAGGCCTTTGTCAGCCTTTTGACTTTGACTGGAAAAACTTCGAAGGTGCAACATTACGATGTACAAGAGATGAAAAGAAAGGATATAAAATCATTACCGTCAAACCAGGTAAACTTTGTGGCAAACATTTTGTTTATATCTTCTTTAAATTAAAGTGGAAAACAATGCTTTTCTTATAATTGTTACAACCCATGTACGATTTATTTTGTTTGACAATTTAAGAGGATGCAATTGTGAGGTTATTCCGTTTTAATGTACAACTATATAGTATATCAAATCTACAATTCTTCTGCCATGTTGTAAATTTTTAAAGCAATATGAGCTGCATTTTTGAGAATTTTATTTTGCTGTTAAAATGTGTTATTATGATTAATTTGTATGTGATTTGAACCTTTTTGATCAATTAGACAGGAATAAAGTATCAAATTGTTTCAGAATAAAGGATTCTGTACAATCAAATATGTAGTATTATATAAGAAATCAATATTGTACAGGACGACAATAATGTAATTTTGCTTCAATCAAAGCTTATAAATAGTTCTTCCATCGCAAATATGAACAACAGAAGTTTATAAATAATCTTTTTTTTCTGTCATTGAAATAGTTAATTACTATTTCGCAACAAAAATCTCTGAAATCAAAGTTGCAGCTCATATTGCTTTAATTTTATGCGTGGCAGTAAAACACAAATTTAACAACATGAAAATAATATTGTAAATTTTGTATTTACTGCCCTCATGTGGATTCAAAATTTGCAATATGACACTTTTTTTTACAATGAAAATTAACGAAGAGAATACTGTATGTGTATTCAAAATTTAGAGCAATCACTGGGTATTGAATGGATGGCGCAATCATGAATTAGCAATATACATGTCTGCGCCGTGTATTGTATTCAAGAATGTATGGTATTCAGGAATGATTTATTAATGATATTCATGAATTAGCCATTGTTGTCTGCGCCAAAGCCACTACAACCGCTACAATATGAAGGTCGCTTTTTAACGTACACATACTATGCTATGTCTTTACAAATTTCTTTATAATATTTAACCGGACACAATGATGCATGAATCTTTAAATCAATTCCTGCTTTTGAAATCTATTTTCAGGATTTTGTCGTGATGAACAAGGTGGATATATAGGTGAGATAAGTAAATTAACTAACAAATAATACAAATAATTTCATAATTGTAAAAAAAGGAAATAGAGAAAATAGTTGACGAAATACACCGAAAAGGCATGTAAAAGTTACTGTCTTAAAATAGATTAAATAAAATAATTTCAAATAATAACTTAGATTAACAGCTTATCAATTATTGATCAGGTTGTATTCACAACAAGAAATGTCATCCATTTGGAAAGACCTGGGAGACAAGTAATTGCCAAACCGTGAAATGTGCCGGAAACAGATGGAGCTTTAGAACTCAAATCATTAATGAAGGTATGATCAATGGAAAGTTCAATCATTGGAGCATTAACCCTCCAATATCTTTATTTAAATGTTCTATTTATAGACTCTTCTCTTTTCTTTAAGCTCAGAGAAGCAGATATTTTATCAGTATTTTTTCAAAACACGTTTTGTTTTCGTGCTTACATATCGGGAAGGATTTTAATATATTTTAACGTGCTTTTCTTTATACGTAAAACATGTGCTAAAAATATTGATTTATTGTTTAATATCGAGTAAACAACTATGTCATAAGTTAACTGATGGAAAAACATGTATATTTTTTTTCTTTTTGAACATGTCAAAAATAAAAGGTTATTTTGATATTTGCTGAATGCTTATATGTCATTGTTTGCAATTAAAATACAAGTAAAACATATTTATTAGAACTTTTAATTAGATAACTTAACAAGGGAATTTGTTTTGTTGAAACGTTTATTTTTTGTATAAAACTTTAATTGTTTTGATCATTTAGATGTCTGATAAAAGTTTTCTTCTCCTAGGTTACAAAACTGCGGACGGATCATGTAAAAAGATATAACTGTTAACAGCAATAAATATTGAAAAATATTTTTAAGGGGAACAGTTTCTTTTTTCTGAAATGTTCCAAATTAGACGCCAACGTGCACAAGGCCAGAAGTTACAACAGTGAGGCCACACATGCTTCAAAATATCAATCGTAAGGGCATTATTCTCCAATGATTAATCAGATACTTATCTATAAAGGTTAAGGGGTACCTACTAAATCCACCATATGTGAAATATCATCCTGTGATGCAAATCTGTATTTAATGACAATTTGATAAATTTCATGTTTCTCAAACTTTATTTAAAAAAAAAAAACGAAAAAGACAACATACAAAAAACTACTTGTATATTTCTCCCAAATTACCTCTCCGTTCAACTACCCATGAAGAATTCATCTCATCATTTCTATTCTCAGTACTTTTTTTTATAATTGATTTCTATTCAGCTCAAATAACATTGAACTTTTTTTACCCAGACATTAAGTATTTCACTGTAAAGTTTATTTATATGATGAAGTCTACTGTAAAAAAAAACAACTACTGAATGAAAGCATCATCAAAGTTTGGACAATTTATATTTTTGCTTACTAATTGCATGCACCAATTAAAAATTGTGTTATATAAAAAAAAATGAAGACGGTGATTTTTTTTTGCTCTTTCGCCGCTTTTGTTCAATGTACCAATGGACCCATGTTAGCATTCATACCAATGTGTGGCATATGCTTGTTTTATCCATGCATATCCCTTTAAATATCAATAAAACTACTTATTTATGAATCAGAGATTAATCATATCTCTGAATTTTAAAAGCTGTTTCCACCTTATCTTTTGCAAAATGCTTCATGAATTGTCTCTTTCCCAGTACATATGATGATCCACTGTAATCAACTATATATGTTTTGAAAATAATTCTAGTGTTTTTCCAGTAAATATTTTTATTTTTGTTCCACTGATAATGTAATCACAGCAATAAAAACGTGAGAACGATGTGTCTCATGTGGTTTTCAAAGGTAAATTAAGGTTCACTGATACTCTGATAAGAGAGAAAACTCTTGATGACATAAATGTCTATTATTCCTTTATAGATCTGTCAACTTGAAATGTCTTTTTTGTCCAATCTTGCCCCGCAAGCTATGCTATTATTGTTTGTATTTTACTTCAAAAATACATTTCTTTTGGAAAACCATAAAGGTTAAGAAACATTTCATATTAGTGAGTAAAGGGTATATGAACCTTAACTGTAAAGGTAGAACCTATCTTATGTTGTTATATGCAATTTTAAAGTGATTTAACAATACAGCTGCATCATTAACCACAATAAGTAACACAAAACTTCCCAACACCACACCGCCTAATATACTGCCTACTGCTGTGGCTGATGGTCGAGTATCAGCGGCACATCTTTTTTTGAGTTGAGCTATATATGTTTCGTTTGCTTTGATGGAAAGTTCAGATTTTATTTTTTTCACACTGGCTTCAATTGCGTCTGTATCATTGGATTGGATGTATTCAGCTTGTTTACAATGGCGAATACATTCTGAAATAGAAAATATATTAGATGTTCAATAATTTGAAATAAAAATGAAATATACACAAAGAAAAACAACCAAAAAAAATTGCTTAAAAAGTACATTAATGACGACAGAAATCATTTATCATTAAAAATATATCTGGTAATTTATAAAACAGGATTACTGTAGTCTAGGTTCAAAATTTAAGAAGATTTTGTTAATCATTCAGAAGGGCGCGTTTCTTTAATACACAAAATAATTTCATATACAAATATTGATCTTGAAAGTTCACAAGTAGACAGATATCGGAAATTATTTTTCTGATTTAAAGTGTCATAGTATATAAAAAGTATTAAGTTATTCAGAGTTTAGAAGAGAGAAGTATATCACGCTCTTCAGAGAAAGCCTAAGGCCTTAACTGGTGTGTCCAGTTGTCCATGATTTTGCCTTGTTCTTGATTTGTATTGTTTATCGGACTTATAAGATTGTTCGTTATCTTCACCTTTATGATTTAATCACTCCTGCCAATCATTTCTTTCCGGAAGACTAAAACCCATGCACATAGTGTGCCAAGGCACACTGATCATGGCTGTTACTCGAATATAGGATAAGAATCTCGCAAACAATGAAGTATTGTGTTGTTCACCATTTATCAGGCAGGGAAATTAGCATGTTAATGATGATAAACAAGACAATACAAAATCTCTTTCCACGGTATTTCAATTACTTTTTATCTATTTATGAACAATTTCTCAAACGAGGCAAGATATTAACAAACAAGTTGATGAAACAAGGATATCAACAGTCTCGTTTTAAGTCATCTTTTCGCAAGTTTTACGGTCGATGCAATGACCTTGTCAGCACATACAACCTATCATTGAATCAAATGCTGACTGACGTTTTTCATGCTAATTGTTAGGCCATTGTTTATACGCTGAACTGTCTACGGATTTTTTCGTTTTTCCCCAATCATGACAAGGAGCAAAACGGCGGGTGTGACCGGTCAGCAGGGGATGCTAACTTCTCCATGGCACCTGATCCCACCTCTAAATGTTGAGGTCCATGTTTGCTCTGCTCCAAATTTTTATCGTTTCATTGGACTTTCGAGATTGAATACTGTTCATTATCTTCATATTTCATCTGGTAGCAATTTCATGATGACAGATCTAGAGATGATTGCTGGAGGCAACTAATGAACTGTTCACATTTACTAAAATGGTCACATATGTTTACCGAAATGCCATTGTTAAAAAACACATAAATTACATAATTCGAACAGGAAACTGTTGGCAGTTTCTTTTTATTTAATATTTTGTTGATGGGTGTGGAAAAATGAGCTTATATTTTTTTATATAAAGTATAAGGAAGTATTTATAATGTTTGAGTATTGATTATATATTCATATTGTCGTCAGTTAGCGCATTCAGTGGATTTTATCAATACTAATCTATGGTAATATTATATTAAAAAAAGAAATAGGGGGTATATATGACAAAGAAGATATTTCTTTAAAATTCTGTAACACATTTACACTACATTTTCGTCCACTCTATCTACACTTTCGCTCTGTACATATATTACGTTATTCTGGACGCTTAGTATTATTGCTAGTTTTATATTCGGTAAGAATGTATTGTGCAATGCAAGGGATGAATATTTGTGATTTAGTGATAAAAGTTAATGGAACCCCCTTAACTTTCCTGCTTGAAAATATAATGGCAAGTAAGTATTCACATATCCAACCACTTTTTCAATACTTTTGTTTATAGGATATCATGACATAAACAATTATATCAGTTTTACTCACGCTTACAAATAGGACTAGACCCACTCCACAGCCCTAAGTGAGTACAACGTCTCATCAAGTCTCCTGATGTGTGACAGAATCCCACCAGACATTGGTAAGTAACTGTATCGTTGTATTGAATACCAGTCAAGGAGTGAGACGAGTTCGCAACGAGCAGCACGTCTTTATCACATGTCACGTCTAAATATATAAAACCTGTCTTCTAATAAGTTATCTAACAAGGTATCAGATAAACTTGATTTCATCTGTCGAGTATGTGATACATGGAAGGGTTCACTTACCCTTTTCTTTATCATAACCAAACTTACACTGGAACTAACAAAGAAAATGGACATAATCTAAATCATTATTGATACAGTGGTGTACAATATGTGCCCCTTTGTGTATTATTTGATAAGTTACATCATTTTTAGAAGCTTTCAAGAACCTTAGTTATTCCTGGATTATATTCGTTCATGTCTGCTCTCTTCATTACAGTTTTAAAAAGGAAAACAATTGGTAATCAATTCGAATGAAATAAGTACCGAGTAAGATCTAGAGATGCAGCCTTTCAACGTCAATTGGTGGCGTTCCAATTTGAGTGAAAAATTCTTAAATGGATAGACAAACGAACGGACGGCAAGACGGTCGAAGAACAAAGTAACTTTGTTATCCTTGTAGATAAATCAGTTGAAGATTAGGAATGGGATAATTTTATTTAAACAATTTTCATCACGTGATTTTTTTTAGATTGAAATATTCCTAAAACATTTTTATTCTACTCTTTCTTTCAAGATTATTCCAAGGTCCCACTTGAGCCAAATTTTATTACCAAAGTACTATTAACTCTAGTAGGAACTGTTACCAGGTAAATTTGCCTCTTAATCCTCTACGTTGATTTTGTGTTTAAAAATATGTGAATTTGGTTCGAAGAAATAGGCAAAGACTAGATGCTTATCGATTAATAAGTTGTTGAACTTTTTAAGAAAAAATCTATCTAATTACGACACAATGGTTGCTTGCTTTTATTTCTTAAAAGGGTTATACAGTTGACTCCTTATACCCGCACTTTCTAAAGAAAGTTCTGGTATATTGTTATCCTTGTCCGTCTTTCCGTCACACTTCATCGAACCTCTTTCACATTTTAAGCAATAGCAATTTGGAATTTGATTAGTTCTGTGCTGTAAATATGCAATAAGGTTTAAAATTTTTCCTTTTTACCCTCGTTGCCATTTTGGAGTGGAAAATGACATTTTTTCAACCAAAGCTATGTTCCCGGAATTCCTCTTTAATTTTATGCAGTAGCCAAAAAATCTTTTAGACTAAGATTGATTGTGTCCTGAAGGTATGCAATAAAATAAATGAATCTTTATTTTCATAAAGATGCCATTTGGCCAAAAAAAAAAAGATCAATTTACTTCTAACACCATGTTCTCAGAACTCTTCTTACATTTTACGCAGTAGCCACATATTCTTTTAGAATTTGATTGGTGTTGTACGTGAAGATGTGCAACACGGTTTTTGAATTTTCATTTACATCAAAAAGGCCAATTGGAAATAAAAAATTTTAACTTATTTTGAAACAAAAACTCCCTTTCCAAATCTTCTTTTTAATTGAGTGTTTGTTTCATAAAATATGTACTTTCAGAGTGGTGATGAATTTGTAACATAAGAAATACTAATTTGATAGGTCAATTGCCCACCTGAGCTTTTTCTGTTCGATTTGCAGAACTATATATTACACAGAATTACA